TTTTGTAATTTTCTCTAGAACAGATTAATAGTATAATTTCTGGTCTAGATTTTAATCCCAATCATTTTATTTGGTCTAATGTTGCATACAAATACATATTCCCTTGCTCCCCCAAACATCCACACAGACACTACTTAACAAGGTTCGATATGAATGAAACGTGCTAAAAAAAATCTTATTTTTAATAGGATAAAAATGTATTGAAATGCATTTTCTTAATAATACACTTGCCCGCTTTATTTTGACTGACTTTGATTTAATTCAATTTAAATAGTAGAACACATTATGTTAAAACCTTGTATCAAAATACTGTGTGGAGGGTTATAACCCTCCATACATATCGTGCAATTGCAAATGGTGTTAGGAAGTCCGTGGATATCCGGGTACTTGTCACCATTGTTGTAATGCATAGTTAATCCTTCGATACAAGACAAAATAAGCGTGAGGAAGAGTAGGTGTGTGAGAGAGAAAGAGAGAGAGAGAGAGAGAGAGAGAGAGAGAGAGGTGGAGAGAGCGAGAGAGAGAGGAGAGGTGAAGAGGGAGAGAGAGAGGGGGAGAGGTGAAGAGGAAGATAGAGTGAGAGAGATAGAGAGAGGGAGATAGAGTGAGAGAGATAGAGAGAGGGAGATAGAGAGAAGGAGATAGAGAGAGGGAGAGGATCGAAATGGATAGAGGATACGGGTAGAGAGAGAGAGAGTTAGCCGGGAAGGAGAGAAGGGGAGGGGAGGGGGGAGCGAGAGCGAAATGATTGATTGATTGATTTTTATTCGACAAGCTTCCAACATGCAACAATATACAATAATAACAGATCAAAAATATGTCAGCTTGAACAGGACAACCCACGAAAGCTCGAGAGCTTATTTTCAGTGGGATATGGGATATGGGACTGGGGAGAAAACTTGAGTCCAGATAATGATCAGTTAAAAAATATCTTCAGAATAAATATTAGCCGACGGGGCAGATCTAGCCTGTCAAACAAAAAGAAAAAATAACAATCACCTTTTTTTACTATTGATTATAGTTATTGATTAGATACATACTACACCATCAATGATTATTAGTAGGACCCAAAGTCTCAAAACTGTGTTTTCCCGCTTCCCTCCCTTCTCGCCAGGAGACCAATGCTATCAAGTGCGATGAGAGAATAACTATAGATTTATAAAAATGCATACAAAAATAATGTCTTTTTTCATATGCTCAATTATCACTCTAAGACAAAAGGATAGGCCTATAGAAACTTTATATATGAATAGCATTACTTAAAAATCGTTCTTCAACTACTTAATAGAAATGCATACAATTTTTTTTTTTTTTTCTTCATATGCTTTATCCTTCTAAGACGAAAGGGTATGCATATAGAAACTTTAGATATGAATAGCATTACTCGAAATTGCTCTTCATTACTTACAACCCCATAGTTTGATATTTTGGTGGATTCGTTGGTCCGTTCTCAAATGCATTTCCATATAAAGTAAAAACTTGTGATTTAACATTTAAATTCTTATAACTCTAAGAGAATGAGTCAGACCAGGTGTTTTAATCATTCTAATCTTATTAATTATTAAAAAAAGAAGAGAATCTCACACATCCTTTCGTGCCGATTGTTCTTCGCAATGGTGAATTTCCGTGAAATCTTTCCATTTTCTCTGAACGTGGTGAACGTGGGTTAGTAATGAGTCAAATATCCGCCGAGAAGTCCAAACTTGGTGAGTTTGTATTGGAGTGGCGTATCCAATCCTCTGCTTCCGGAGGGGAGAAGGGGGGGGGGGGCGGGCAAAATTTCCTATATTGTTATGATATCTGTACTATAGTATCGTGTCAGTAGTCAGAACAATATAAAAATTGATTTGATGATCAATGGTTTTGATTTGTTTTTGATTTGATATGGTTTATTGATTAAAAAACATTCAAATAGCAGCCAGAGGCTGAAACAAATTGAATTTACAAAAGATACATACAAAAGCATAACATATAAAAATGATAATCTACATATTATCATGTATGTATTCCAGCATGGAAATATTCGTACTCGGGCCGGGCATGGTATTGCAAGGGGATGGACCCTCCTTTGTCCAATCTTAACATTTGTTTATAACATAAATATAATATTTTTTAATTTCGAACATTATCCGTTTTATCTGTAAATATTTTTTAGTTGTCAATATGCATTGCAGTGAAATTTGTAACAGTGGTGGGCGATTTGATTTTATGTTTATTTACCTTACAGTAATTTCACCACTTTACTGTAAAAGAAAGATAAAAACTTTTGTTTCTTGGTTAGAAATTTGTGGGGGGGGGGCAAATGCCCCGCGCCCCTTTAAAAACGATGGTGAACCTTGGTGTATCGGGTCCGGGTGATACGGTGAACTGTCATGGGGTCGCTTGCCCTGTTACAGTTCCCGTTATGATTAGCTACAACTCATTAGCTCACACGTACAAAAAGAGAATTTCCTTATAAGGAAATCTGTTTTATGTACAGTAAAGCCTCACACTAGATTAAAGGTACGCTCTTATCCAATTTGTAATCAAAGTTCTTGATTTTATTTAAAATCATGTTTTGTATGATTTGTTTTTGTGTGTTTTTATTCATTACGAAACTTCACTGACATGGTATTAGCAATGTTTAGTTTAACAAAACAAAAGAATAAAGGATAATTTATGAATATCATATGAAGATATTACCATCTAACATAAACAATGGATTGAATTAGTATAGTAATGCCCCGAAAATTGTATTAAATCTTTTACCCTTTTATGAAATATATAAACATAACAATAAGTCAATAATACATTTTTTTAAATCGTAACAACAAGAAAAATGCATTTGATACATCAAAGTATAAACATGTTCATAAATGACTACATATTCCATTGTTTGCATTACGTTTCAGTAACCTAATATATTGTTAAACGTCAACGAATTTACATTTTGCTCTAAATACACTATCAAGAAACTAAACTTATGGAATAATTATTCTAAACTTTTATCCATATTTGGCAGTTTGGACAGCAAATATGTAATGTTTTACATGTACAGCTATAAAAGTATCGCTACATGCAGCAGAATCAGGAGACGATCCCACCCACCCCCCCCCCCCCCGCCCCCATTAAACAAAATGAAAAATATAAACTCAAGTTCATGTTCTCTTTAAAAAGAAAAGAATCCCTTTTTCCTGAAAATAAGCATCGTAATTGCGTCTAAAACGTTAACAATGTTAAATATGAAATGCATTGCCTACGTGCCCGCGTTATCAGTGTCTGTGATATGGTGTAATATTGAAGCCCTAAAAGAATTGCGCTTCCAAAGGATCATGAAGTGCCTTAAAAATGTAAAAATCATTGATTGACTGGTTTAACCATACACATTTTCCCCTATAGGCTGTAGTGTTATAAAAAGCGTTAGGAAAACGAAAAATGAAATTTGGATTTTCAATCATAAATATCTTGATAATCAGACAGGCGATCGGTTTGTACTGGGATTCCTGACTGGTCGACCTATAAATGTTTATAATTATGATCGCAGCATGAGCCAAATCCAGGAATTTGTTTCAGAATCTGAGGCAATGACAATGTTACCGAGTCACTTTAAAATGTAAGAATGTTAGGTAAGAAATATATTAATCACTAGAACAAAGGTGAAATCGAATATTAGACAAGATATACTATTATCTATTCACGACCAATGACGTAATCTAGAGAACTCATGAATACTAATACACTGTGTCAAAGAGACAGTATGAGAGAGGTAGAAGAAAAAGTAAAGTATAGACTCGACATTCAAACCTTTTCCTGAATCCGGAGACTGGAAACTATATTACAGCTGATAATGCAGCAATATTGTGGTACAATGTAGATTACGCATATTGTAATATATGTATTGATTATATATTTCACACCCAATAAAATAATCGACAATCTTTAAAGGGCGTTGCAAGGATTAAGGTAAAGACCAGTATTGGGAACGCCCCAATTTCAAAAAATGAAATGGAAGCTCTCATTATCAATCATGTGAAAGAATATGTTTTGACTAATACATGGTGATAAAAAATTTGCCGGGAAACCGCCTACTAATTCATATATTTGGTAAATTTGTTTCTCTCATGGTCTGTGAGAGATATAGGGTAGTCCCATATACATCTTTCTGTGTATATTGCTTGTAACTTTATGAAGAATGGGCCAAATTTCTTATCATTTTGATGATTCCAGAACCTTGCAGATGCTAGATGCTAGATGATCATCCTTTTCTGATCGATTCCACAACGTTTCTTTCACAATGCAATCGCATGACCATAACTGGTCTTTACCTTTAACACCATGAACATCTTAAAACTTGTAATAGGGCCACAATATTGTGTGTTTTTTAAATCATAATTGAAAATGTTCCTAAAAGTCTAGTGGCAAAATATTCATTATCAACAAAATTACAGTCATTTTTTTTTTCTTTTCAAATTTAATTTTTGCGACTGGCAGTTTTTTGTTCACCCCGTTTAGAAAACCACAGCGTCTTTTGAACTGAAATTTGGCATAAACATGAACTTTCATAAACTCATCTTGCTGCTATACAGGTAAATTTTGATATAAGTTTTTGAGGGATTGCAAATCCCTGATATGGGCTTTAATTTAGGTATAATTGCTTTCAATGAAAATGGCAGGCCTAATGATAAACTTTTACAACTCGTTTCCATCAGAGAAAATGTGAACGGCTGATTTATTTCATGCAATGCATGAATGTCACAAATTATATTGTTATTGGCTGTAATCAATTAATGTTACTTGAATCGAGAAATTCAATAGCAATCACAGCTTATAAAGGCAAGGAAATAGCGTGAAAGTGGATCGGAAATATTTAATGTGCCTGCAAACACAGACTAAAAAGTAGGCGGGGAAAAGAACTATACCACTTTCGTCTCCAGGAAGCTTGGCTGGAATGTTACTGGTAGTTAGTTTGGTTCCAGAAAGAAAGAAAAAAGTTCGCCCACGGGAAATAATCTGCGTCGTCACAAATCACCGGTCTAACTCTGGGTCAAAAAATGGTTCTGTGATCTCTATAAATACAGGTCCTATTTCTGAAAGAGTATCAGTTGAAATTTAGGAACCAGCTTAGAAAAGTGGCAAAAAGGTAACAATATAGCATCGCAGGTGAAAAAGAAAAGAGGCAAACAGCAGAACAATTATAGATCTGGATATACTTTCACAACAACTTGGCAAAAGGCAACGGAGTTCGAGTGCAATATAGTTAGTGTGCAATTTGCAAGATGGAGCTCTCGGTGATTTTTGTGTGCATGGGCGTTTTGCTCATGGGCACCGCAAACGTAAGTATGATTTTCAGCTTTTGCCATTCTACGATTTTTATCAAATTTTTTTTCAGTTGTTGCCCTTTATATTTACTTTTTAGTGTAGGTCTGATTCTGAAAGAGTAGATTTGCATCTTTAAAATGATATGTAGCTCATCAAAATTTTCTGCTGTTTCACTATGTTTTTCTCTTAATCGGATCAACTTGTTCTGTGGTGGACATGTTTTGATTGTTGAATAGTATCACGAAGGGAGCGAAAACAACCTATTCGAAACTTTGATTATTGCGGAATTATAATAACGGTATTCGACAATTGTTTTATATAAATGAGGGCCGTCGGAAACAGCAAAACCAAGTTTTTTCCGAAACTTGAATTATTGCGGAATGATAATCCTGGTATTCGGAGCATAGAATATGAAAAATGCAAGCACATCGATTCTAGACACTGAATTTTATTCAAATAAGTTGAAGATGACTCATCATGCTCAAGCGTTCTCTTCCTTAATCTCTAATGCTATAGTGAAGTGTTCTCTTCCTCACAACTCTCATCTGCTCTCTGCATGTGCTCTCCCTCTCTCTCTCTCTCTCTCTCTCTCTCTCTCTCTCTCTCTCTCTCTCTCTTTCTTTCTCTCTCTCTCTCTCTCTTTCTCTCTCTCTTTCTCTCTCATACACACACACACTAACATTCACTCTCTCACTTTGTCTTTCTTTCCCACAGGCGGAGTATAACTACAAGACAGGGTTTCTGAACGCGCAGGGAGTCCCCGATGGTGGGGTGAGTATATCGTCCGGGGTCGTGGAATAACATTGACCTCTCGATTCATGTGTTTGGATTCAGATTTGTAACAAGTTAACAACATAGACACCAACCTCTATCCATCCGTCAAAAATGATGTTAACGTTGCTAAATCCCTTGTTTTTAGTATAAACATGTCATGCGTGTTTAAAGCTAAAAACAGAAACTAGAATTTCAACTTTCTATATAAGCAGGAAACAACAATATATATAGTCTTTTTGAATGCGAAAATATTTACCGATTTTGGAACGTTATTGAAATATTATTATGTCACTCCTTCTGTAAAGAATTTAGATTCTCACCCATTTGTGTTGTATATGGTTTTCATGACGCAAAAGAAAATGTTACAGATATTGATTTATAATACTTCATTATGCTTTATTTGCAATCTATAAAGCGAGTGTTGGAAATCAATTTAATAAAAATGTAGTGACGAGAATAATAAGCAAATATTTTTTGTTTATGTTGAAATACAAAATAGAAGTAGAGGAAAACAAAACCAAGACAACAAATTTGAATATTATTAAGTGGAAGAAGACAATTACTAATTTTAAATCTGCTATCAAGTAAATAGAGACATAATTTAATTTGACCTCATTTAGACATGTGATTAAGAGCTTTGTTATGAATATTTATGTACTATGATGTTATCCATGATTTTATCTGAATAAAGATTTATTTCAACAACAACAAAAAACAATATATATATATATATATATATATAGTCGGCCCCAAAACTCTCGATCATGATGCAAATCCGAAACTGAAAATGCAGACCAATTGTTATGTGGGGTGAAATTAACTACTAGGTTATTAATAGTTCAAGTCCATGATATGCTCAACGTTGTTTCGATCAAACTATATTACCATTATATAATGTTATGTTAAAAAATATAGACTAGATTTTGAAGAAAATGAAACTAAGAAAATAGATGCGAATACCATGTAGTAGTGGATAAAGATAATTAATGATTTACAGGAAATGCATTTTTAATATGCTTACAAATAAATACAGATATATAATTTGATCTTCTTTAAACATGACTTATGATTTACTTGTTTGTAAATGATTATGTATGATGTCATTCGTGATTTTGTATCTGAATAAAGATTTTATAAAAAGAAGTAAAAAATCATTATATCACCCTACACCCCTTCCCATGGAAAGCTGGGCATTTTTTCTGACTTCACAAAAACCGTGGTATAAAAATAAACAAATCTGCAGAGAAACAATAATCAGAGAGTCAATGAGTCAAAATACATGTTACGATGCGCTTTCAAGAGATATAATGGCCGCAATTTTGGTAAGCCTCTATAGTCTCACTTTTTATGATCTGATATGATGTTTCTCGGAAGTTTTTCTCGCTATTTTCCTCCAACATGAGACCCTCAAAATGTTACACTCATTGAGAAATGATAAACACAATAAGCCGCATGAAAATAATAAATGATTTTATTGTTTTGTATTGGTTTGGTTTAAAAATCATCGAACAGGCAGCTAAGGGCTGAAAATGTTACATTTACAGAGTAAAAAGTACATGTTGACATATGAAATTGTCTTATTCTACATAATAACGTCTGTACAGGTATATTACGTGAAAAACGTGGTATATTATAAATAAACAAATTCTATACATTTTCTCTTTGTCCTTTTTTTTATCAGATGGATGTTGTACCGCCATCATTCGAAGGTGAGTTAATCTGCTTGCACATAACTCTGTTTTGTATAATTGAGTTTGTGATTGTATTATTGTGTTTCTATTGATCAGTGTATCATTAATTTATATATCTGATATTATTGAAGATTAGAATGGATTGCACGATCTTCTGGAATATGGAAATAGTAAAGTTAGAAAATGCAATTTAACGTCAAGTACATGAGTCAATCAATAACTGCATAAACTCTCATCGCTTTCTTGCAAAATTCGGTGATTATTTTAAAATTCGCAAGCATTATTAATTGTTCATTTTATCTGACTGTCAACTCGAAAGTATTCCCTTATGCAATTAGTTAAACTATATATGTCGGCCCTACCCAAATGACTCGGTAAATATTGTACAGTAACACCAAAGGGTTATCCTAATTCTTTGGTATTACAAAGTGAACCATCTTGGTCACAACATATCACCCATATATACAGTGAAGTATTGACGATGTTTAAACACCTTTTTTCCTAACATTCAATGAATATCAATTATTCACGTTTTTTTTATTTTCTCCTATTTTTTTTTCATTTTGAAATACAGAAATTCAGGCTTTTGGCACTGCAAATAGTGGTGACGCATTTACAAACATTATGGCAAGAAATATAGCTATAAACGAAACGGGTGAGTATATTAGTTAGTACCTTCTCTTTCTCTCTCTCTCTCTCTCTCTCTCCCTTTCTCTCCTCTATAGTGTATATCATCTTATATTCATATATTCATACCTAATTCCAACAGCCTTATATGTCACATATTGAAATGTGCGAACATCATAACCATGATGAATCCGAACATGACGTCTACATGAGATTACCACTAGAGTATTGAAATGGCTCTTGAGTCGATTTCTCGAAAGTCTTTGCGATCGCATTATCCAATAGGCCATGCCTGTATTGTAACGAAAGTTAGTCATATAAATTTGTGAAGCGCCTCGAATTCAATTATTTCATTCACATGTTACAAATAAATGTATCTCTATAGTCAGAATTCAAATTGCATACATTAGCTGTTGCTAGGTGAGACAAACAATGTGGCTTGTCTAACCCAACAACACGTAATATATTCAATTTGCATTCCGACTTTTGAAATACAATTATTCGTATCGGGTGAATGACATTTTTCGTATCGAGGAATTTAAGCATAAATTTGTATAAATCATTTCGAAGTAAATCTATCAAATGATCTTTTCCATTCGATGCTTTTTTCGACACCAGTAACCCTTATTTCCTATATTTTTTCACCCTTTTTTTTCTTCAGAGTTGTGTCTCGAGCAGGGAGATATTCCCGTCCCATGTAACAGCACCGGTCGAGCCAAACGAAACGCTCTCCGTGATCGCGGTATGAGATGGGTAAACGGTGTGGTTCCATACGTCATCGACAACCGATACGGTAAGGAAATCATTGACATAGCCTTAAATGGTATCATGCAATAGGGCGTTTTCGACATGTAACTGCAAGCATTTTTATTTAGGGAGGGGGGGGGGTTCAAGAGGCCCCGGTTAAGATACACTTATATTTATCATTATTGAAAGTAACCTACATACTATGTCATTGCTTTGTAATGTAATTTTTCTTTGATATCTAGTTGACACAATGACATAATGCTTTGGTGGAAGTGAGATCCGATGATACGGAATTCCGATACATCCTGCGTGATAAAACATTGAGGTCAAAATGTTTCACCAACCCTGTGTTGTACAGGGTTGGTGAAACAGTATAGGCTATTGTGGAATTCCCAGTTCTTAATTTTCATGGTCACCATGTTCAATTCTTTTATAACTATTAGGTTAGCCTCATAATGTTATGACTTATACAAAGAGTTACAGTTCACGTTTCATCATTTGCATTTCATACGCAAACATCTTCAATGCTCTTCTAGTTTTCATACAAAACCATTGGATGGAGAACAAAGTGAATGATGAGCACGACACAACACCATTATAACGTGGCCGTGTTAAATTCCACTCGATATCTCGCCATAATATAAAAACTGTAGCGGTCCACAAAACACAAAACTGTTAACATCACATTACATTACAAGCATACAGTGTATACATTTGTATTTTTATCATACACTACAAGCATATATTTGTATTTGTATCAATTTACTTATCTTTTTCATATTTTTTCGATGGAGCAGATTACGGTACTCGCGCTCGCATCACGAGGGCTATGGAACGTTACCATGAAACCACTTGCATCCGATTCGTAGAGAGAACAAGAGAAACAGACTACATCTATATCTTCCCCGGTAACGGGTAAGTGGAGCGATTATATACAAAATTGTTCTAGATTTTAAAATTGAATTCTTGTTTCGGAATGTTAACAATGAATTATTGGTATTATGTATTTTTGCATGGTACAAGAACGGAAACCATCCATCTTCCTCATTCCCTGTAAAACTGTTCTAAAAGAGTATTCACACCACATCCCTGTTGAACACGCCCACATATTCAGCATAGACCGCATGCCTTTGCACACACACAAAAAGTTTTATATTGCATAGGTCTTACTTTGAAATTACCTTTTTGGTTATTACACATTACGATGAACACATGCAGGGATGGTGAAACATTTTACAATGTAACAATAATATTACAACTATTTACTGGAAAAACATCTTACGAGTCTTCTAACATAATTGCCTTGAATCTTTGTTGCTCAGGTGTTATTCTCTGGTCGGCCGTGTCGGAGGTCAGCAGCAGGTTTCTCTGGGAAATGGCTGCACTACGAACTTGGGTACGATCATTCACGAACTCATGCACGCCGTCGGATTCCACCACGAACAGACGCGAACAGACCGCGATACATACGTCTACATCTACTTTAACAATATCATTCAAGGTAAAAAGAGGGATCTCTGTAAGTGGGTTCAGGATGGGGTTATCTTGACTGTGGTGCACGTATGGTGGTGGGTCCAAGATTTTGGAATGAAGGGGTTGCGTACTCCCAGTCCCCCCCCCCCCCCCCCAAAAAAAAAAAAAAAAAAAAGAAAATAAATAAATAAATAAATAAATAAATAAATAAATTAAATAAAATTTAAAAAAATAAATAAATGAATAAATAAAAATAAATAAATAAATACATTTTTAAAAAAATAATAAAAATAAAAAAATAAAAATAAAAAAAAAGTCGCATGTTGTGGGTTGGGAATGATTGGGAGCGTGCATTGTTGGACAATATTTTAAAAAATGATCGAATTCAAGTAAACGTAATTCAAGTAAATGTAGTCTAAATTGCCTCGATGTCTAATGGAGTGCTGATTATAGTCCTCGACTCCGAAACAGTAATCCAAAATACTCGAAATGTCACATTCAGAAAAGGTGTTATCTACAAAATAATGTACACACATCAATGTATTCGTCAGAAAGAGACATGGTTAGAATCAATAAATCAAGTCAATTAAGATGCATTAGTGCAAAATTATATCATTTTGCATGGAAAGCAGTCGTGGCTGGATTATTTATGTTGGTACGGTAAATAACATTGAACTATTTTAAAGACATGATGGCGCGACAACGTGATTATTAATGTGATTCGGACTTGGCAGATAGTAGGTCTATATACAAGAAGTTTTCAACTTGAAATAAGTCCATGTAATCAATTTTAAATGATTATGAATGATCATCGAATCGAAATCAACTCAAATATTCACCTTCTCCCATGTCACAGGTCTTGAATACAACTTCGACAAGTATGAACAAACCTACATCGACCACCTCGGTACCCCATACGATTTGTTCTCCGTCATGCACTACCACATGACCGCGTTTACATCGAACGGACAGCCGACCATCGTCGCTCGCGACCAGAGATTCCAGCTCGACTACCGTTCCGATTTCAGTGACAACGACATCAACAAACTCAACATTTACTATGAATGTGGTAAGTTTGATAAGTGCGGTGCCAAGTATCAACTTTAAAACACAAAGTCGTTTCAAAAAGATGTTTTATAGTTGTACAAATCCGTCTTCAATCCCAATGATAATACCAAAAGAAAGGAAAGATACAAAAGAGTATGTCACCTTTGTCCTTTCTCTCTCTCTCTCTCTCTCTCTCTCTCTCTCTTTCTCTCTCTCTCTCTCTCTCTCTCACACACACACACAATCTCTCTCTCTCCATCCCCCTCTCTCTCTCTCTCTCTATCCATCTCTCTCTCTCTCTCTCTCTCTCTCTCTCTCTCTCTCTCTCCCTCTGCATGTCTGCGACCTCCTTTCGTCCTCTCTCTCGTTCTAACCCATTCTCCTTCGCCTTTATTTGAATATGGCATACAATGTTAACCTGAGTCAATCATTGACTTGTCAATAGAATATTCTGATTTCAACTACCGGGAACAATTCATTATAAAACTGGAAGAAGAACAATTTGCATGCATCAATAGTATTCTTTGCAGTATGTGAATTATATCAAGTGCGTTTGTATTAAAAGTGTAAAAATGAATCGGATAAATAACTGTGTGTTCATTTTCTATTTCCCTTTATCCTCTGCAGACGGCAACACTGTCGATCCCACGTGTAAGTATTTTTTTCTTTTTTTTTCTTCTTTCTTTCTATTCCCCCTATTTATGAAGCTACTCTCCCTGCTCCATAATGTTAATAACCGTCGAATGTAAATCATTTGAAAAACATTTTCCACAAAAATGTTAAATCCACAACATTTAGTATCTTTCTGTAGAGATAACATTTTGCTTTAGGTTTTGATCAGAGGAAATCAAGAGACAGTAATAACAACAAAAATAACAATGATGATGATGACAATGATCATAGCAATAATTCATTAAAGGGGAAATTCACCCTAATATTAAGTTGGTATTAATAAAAGCAAAAAATCCGATTAAAAATAAGAAAGTTATGAATTTTTGAAGTTGCGATATATCAAACACAAAACACTATGTGACGTATCTTGCGAGCTCCCCTCCCATTTGCTCAATTTATGCTTGTTTGCTCTTACTCCTATAGTACCGGAGGAAGTTGATTGTGTTGATAGTAATCAAAACTGTCCTGGTTGGGCTGATGCTGGATACTGTGCTACTAACTCCTGGATGATTGCCAATTGTAAGCTCAGCTGCGCAGTCTGTGTCATTACTCCTACTCCTACTCCAGGTCAGTCAATGATATATGTTTAATTATTATTATGTTTGTAGTATTATCATGATAAGTAATTTCATTATTATCCAAATGTCATTGTTATCATTTCCATTCATGTTTTTCGATATCAACGATCCAGTGATGAAATTTATTCAATAATGGGATTATAATTACTGTAATCACGAATATTATCATTATTATTGTTACTATTGTTGCCGTAAGTTGAATAATAACTACAACTTGTTTTTATTGTAAAACAGACGATTACTTCAAAAGCGTAATTGAAGAGAACCAATCATTTAAAACATTGTAAATAGATAAAACATTATTAAAACTGAATGTACTTAACATTTGATATCAAGAGTACATGTATTAGAAGTTATAGTATTTCTGGAAGGGAGGGGGGGGGGGGGGTCATCAAAAAATGAAAAAACGTAAAAATTAACTCTCCCTTCATTTTTGTAAATATTATTTTGACAGGAACCGGAGGCAATGATGGTGAGTTGATCCTTCTTCTTGATATTGTTATAATGATGATAACATAACGAAACTTGTATTTAGCCACAACTAAGTGTAGGGTAAAAAATGCTGATAACGCTGATATGCTGATATCATGAGCGACAGCACAGGCACTACGAAATACATATATATATATATATATATATATATATATATATATATATATATATATATATATATATATATCAAATTAATTTATTATAAAAAAAAATTGCTTCAACGGTATCATTGGAGGTGACCTATCACTCCAAAAATAGACATTTGTAAATCTTTAGAGAACCTGAGGCATGAATCTATAATTTTCATTTGTATCAAAATTAATTTTTCTTTTTAAATTAAAATCAATGTTATCTTGCACCATGATGACTATGTTGTTGTTTAATAATGTTGATATTATGTAAGTGAAGTACAAAGCAAAACACAGCGATTTTCATTATAACTATCAGACATTTGTCAATAAGAACTAATTCAGACAAAATCAGATTTGTGTTATCAGTGGCTTTGAGTATCTATCTTCTTTCAACTCTCTTTCTCATGATTGTGCAGACTGCAAGGACATGAACGATAACTGTGCTGGTTGGGCTAATGCGGGCGAGTGTCAAGCCAACCCATCCTGGATGTTGCCCAACTGTCCCGTCAGTTGCGATCAGTGTGAAACCGTCAATCCCGGTGGTGAGCAAAAACAAAAAGCTGGTTACTTATGAACGCAAGGCCGTGAATAGATGATTATTGTTGCTTTTGATATTGTTTGTAAGGAATCAAAATGATGGGTCGCAGTGTTAGTTAAGGATACTGTTTTGGTAACAATTCTATATCAAGCTTCATTTAAAAGGGTTAAATTTCATTCATATCTTGCTGGTCAGGATTCAATTTTCATAATGATGATAAAATTTCACGATGATGACTTGATTACAACAAGATTTCACGATGATGACTAAATTACGACAAGATTTCACGATGATGAATTAATTACGACAAAATTTCACGATGATGACTAAATTACGACTAGATTTCACAAGGATGACTGTAGTTTGACAATAAGTAATTCATGATGATAGGTAACTTTGATGATGATGTAGTCACATCAACATATCAAGCTCATTAATTTTGTGACACTTTATTGTCAATGTTGGTGTGATCTGTAGTAGGTAACTATAATTGGCATTGGCTACATCTTATATAGTTAATATATATTTTATACTATGATATTGGTTAGAAGCATGTTGGTGGCAGTAGTGATATAAGAGTTGACCAAAATATGTTCTCTTTTTTTGTATTAAACAGAAAACTGCATAGACATGAATGAGAATTGTGCAATTTGGGCCAAGTATCGACAGTGCACCGAAAACCCTGGCTACATGCTTGAATTCTGCCCCCGTTCCTGTGGGCAATGCGTTGGTAGCGGTATCATGCAAAGTAAGTCCTTTTTGTATTATAGACTTCGCGTCGGAAATAGATATTTCTTTCTGATAAAAGAAAATTAATATTTAACTTTCATTTTATTTATTTTTCTTAATTTATCATGTACGCATCCTCCGGCCCAATCCGCCATCTGATTTTTCGAGGTTTTTTTTTGGTATAATACTTTAGGTTACCCACTGAGAACCAAAAGGTCGTTGATATATTTCAGATACACCCTCCAATCGTGGAGATATTGTGTGCTGCAAACTTCTTTTGAAATGTTGCATTGTCGATTTGAAATCAATTGAGGGTGCTGTAGAAGATCATTTTAAACGTACAGTACTCTTTTGACCTTGTTTCTACATTTTCTGTTTAACGATTTGTTTAATATAAATAATAATGTTCAATCGAACATGACAGATGGGAACTCCATGTATAGTTTACCACCCCCCCCCCCCCTCCCCATTCACTCCCTCCTTGTCCTGTCCCCTGTTTAACAAGTTCTGGATAAGCTTCCGATTAATTCCTGTATAGTCTCTGTTAAAATGATTTCAATACTCAATTGGCCTTGTGCAGACGATAATCATGTTCAATCAATATCTGATTTATATATATCAATATTTGTTCATTCATTTTATTTTCCTTTTCAGCTTGTGAGGATTTCAATGACCAATGTGCAGACTGGGCAAGTACGGAGCAGTGTCAGCTGAATCCCGGCTACATGAACTACGAGTGTAGGAAGAGCTGTTCCCTTTGTGCTGCCAGCTCGCCTTTGGAACTGCTACCTCAAAGTAAGATCACTAGCAATATATTTGACATGCAATTAATCTAATTACCGTTTGAAGAATATGTTTCAGCAAAGTAGCGGTAGTTCATGTCTTACAGTCATTAGATTAACACCCAATGATGAAATAATAGCATGCGGGAATAAAATCATGATGTAAGGGTAATTTTTTCATTTTGCCATGATAAGTTCAAGCTTTGGTATGTCTTTGTGTCTCATTGTCTCAGATAAGTATTGTAACTGATAATATGTTGAAGTGAAGATGGCTTGTCCTGAATTTAATTCATGCCCACATAATACAATTTTTATTTAATGCCCCCTCCCCTAAAATTGGAAATGAACTTAGACTAAAAATTCTGCCATGGAATGTGTGCGTTCGGCCCCTATTTTGATTATTGCACGACTCTTCAACGACATGGACTGCCCTCCCTCCCCCCCCCCCGATGATTTTATTTGAGCAACACTTTGGGGTTTATTCAGATGCTTCATGATATAATAGACCTATACGTAGTCAATCAAATTAATTTTAATGATTTTGATTTATACTGTTACCCCCCCATGTAATATATTTTTTTGGAAAAATAATCTCTAAGCTCCTCAAATTAATTAACATTATTTCATCCTTTATTTGATATTTTTTCTGCAGCTCAATGCCAAGACACGAGCGGTTACTGTCCTGTGTATGCTGAGGATGGGATGTGCGTGTCGAAGCCCGAGTACATGGGCCTCGTTTGCCCCGACACCTGTCAAATGTGCCCCGGCAAGATCTACGCCGAAAGTGGGTCTAGTGGGTCTAGTGAGCTCCGATCCTTCTACGGCTTCCTTGGCGCCCTTTTCATCTCATTTCTAGCGCGCAGATTAGCTCTGTAAACAAAAGCCTCTTCCAAAACCCAAAACATTATGTACAGAAATTAAAATAATGGCATCGACGTTAGTCTCGTTTTTTTTTAATCTGTGTTAAACTCTGTTTACAAGCTGTCAATTTTTTTGTAAAAAACAAATCAGTTTGTTTTATTGAAGTGATAATTTTCTGTCATAATCATTGTATCATATTTTTATTTATCTATTTATTTAAATTGTGTTCTTACAATATTTGTATCTGTATTTTTTCTTGTAATTAAGAGAACTTTTTCTTATATATATTAGGTAAACGAATTTCTTGGCAAATAAGCTATTACAGTGTGATTTATTAATGATTGGCGTGTTGACCTACGATTTGCACATAATTAGGGTTTTGAAGATTTACAATTACAGTACAGATTATATATTTATAAAAGTACTTTAACTATAAACACAAAAAGATAAAGAGGCTGAAATTATGAACTGTAATATGACTATGATGTACTTGTACAATGTATAATCATGTACAAATACGTTGTGAGAAACAAAATCAGTGCTTGTGTGTGACTTTTTATTTAATTGAAAATATGAACACCTAGAAGTTGCAACTGTTGATATTTCTATATTAGTGAACACGAATATATTAAGAAACTGATATTGTGCTGGGCACAAACATGATGTAATTTATATTTGTTATTCGTTATTATATTTTGGAATAAAAAATATATTGCCTAATGAAATTATCTCATTCTCGCTCCTTGTCCGATGTAATGTAATAATCAACATCACTGTGCAATGAGCGTGTAAGCTGTGGTGTCGATTTGGATGAAAGGTGTAATGTATAATCTATATCACTGTGCAATGAGCGTGTAAGCTGTGGTGTCGATTTGGATGAAAGGTGTAATGTATAATCTACATCACTGTGCAATGAGCGTGTAAGCTGTGGTGTCGATTTGGATGAAAGGTGTAATGTATAATCTACATCACTGTGCAATGAGCGTGTAAGCTGTGGTGTCGATTTGGATGAAAGGTGTAATGTAATAATCTACATCACTGTGCAATGAGCGTGTAAGCTGTGGTGTCGATTTGGATGAAGGGTGTAATGTAATAATCTACATCACTGTGCAATGAGCGTGTAAGCTGTGGTGTCGATTTGGGTGAAAGGTGTAATGTAATAATCTACATCACTGTGCAATGAGCGTGTAAGCTGTGGTGTCGATTTGGATGAAAGGTGTAATGTTATAGTAACAATGACTGCTTTGAGAGACATAGTTGTTTTATACGCTTTTACCCTTTTTTCTGGCATGTTAATCCAGACACATAAGTCCACAAGTGCAAAATATTAGCATCACATAAATAATAGGTAAAGCAATCTACTTCCTGACTGCATGCCTGGTTGCTAATTCAGGGAACCAGGCACGTGAGTCAGGCAGACATCAAACAAAAGTTACAAAGTCATTTCAATAAATCTACTTCCTAACTGAAATAAACTACACTTCTTTCCTTTGACCTTTAAATCAAACTGACCTAACTTTGTTAGCATTTTGTCAAGTGTTTTGAGATGGACATCAAATAAAGGCGAAAACAAAAGTATATCGTCTAAATAAATCAACAAATATGTCAGATTCATGTCTGCTAGGCATCAATCGCTCCACTACCCCTTTAAATGTACTAGGGGCATTTACTAAACCAAATGGCAAACGGTTTGAAACAAACGGCACTCTAAATGCTGTCTTTTCCTTGGAATCACCGTCCATTTCCACCTGGTGATAACCATGCGCTAAATCAAGAGATGAAAATAATGCTGCCCTAATATGAGGGCTTCTAGTGACTTGTCGACCCGTGGTAAGGGAAAAGCATCTTTAAATTGTTTTTGCATTTAAAGATGATACGCCCCTTTTGCAGCCAGCATCGAATTTTGTAGAAATTTGCAGGAATTATGAATATGTCATATATGCCCCATCTGTGAAATGTAAACGTTAGCAGTGTCCTAGTATTCAAATTATGCAAGGAAACCCGTTTACTTTCTAGACCTCACTGTCAGACATATACCTCTCTTTAGAAATATATGACTACTTTAATATTCGGGGAATAGTTGTTTTAAAGGCTCTCGGGGACGTTGCATCTTGCTATCACCCCTTTCAGGATGTAACATCCCCTTGAGCTTATAAAACAACTATTCCTCTCATAGCAGTCATTATATCTATACTATTGGGTGACTGAATGATATCTTTTGCTTCTTTGGTAATAACATTCATAAAATGAGCTGTAAAGGGTACATCAGCATTTGTCTACGCCAATAACCCACTACTTGTAACGGCCAAAATTAAACTGATCGAAACTTTGTGCAGCACAAAACGTATGACCATTCAGTACAAGGGTCTAAAAATCAAACTATGTACTTATAGGTGATTGCAATCACATAAGTTGATTCGACAACTAATTGTCGTTATTTTCCCACAAAAAGCCATTTTCAAGCCCTGTCGTTCTGAAGGAAGTTCTAAGTTAGTTTTGTCTTTCAAATGCCGTTGGACTTTTGGGGCCTGCAAATGGGACCATTAATCAACACAATCTTTTATACGCAAGCTTCCATCCATTTTTTTTTACCAACATTACCGGGCTTGCATATTATGGGCTACTAATGGGTTTTATTATGCCTTGATCAAACAGATTTTGCTATGTTTTACCTCTTTAAAATGTGCGGGGATTCTACAATAAGACTGGTTGTTCATCTCTTGTCTCGATCTTGTTAAGATCTTGAAAACGAAGCATCATGTTTCTGGATGAGCCGTACCTCACTTTCTTTGTCTTCGTCATTCAAATAACAAGACTTCAAATTTATCCCAGGTGGAAAGGGAAACTGGCTCCCATCCCTAAATTTGAATACCTCTGAATATGAGGGGTCAAGGTTTTTCGTACTATAATTAGTAGCCACGTTTGGTGTATTGCTAGTGTCGCCATCGGGACATTCTGCTCAGGCGCGGATCCAGGATTTCTAACGGGTGGGGACCCAAATTTGAAATCATTTCGAAATTTAGTGTGCTGAAATTTGAAAATCGTGCCGACCTATATTTCGCTCAGTGGGGGGGGGGGGGGGGGGGGGGGGGGGGGGGGGGGGAGGTAAGCACAAATTTTTTTTTTTGGGGGGGGGCCCTCGAAAATTAAAAAAATCGCACTCCCGCCCCCCCCCCCCCCCTTGAACGCCAGGGCGGGGCCTAGCTCAGGGGTTTTATACATCAAATTCTCGTTGGATGAGCATAATTTTATACCTTATTTGTGACACTGGCAGATCACGAAATGGCGTGGGGTCCTGGGGGCGGAGCTCCCGGAAGCTCAGGGGTTTTGGGCAATAAATAATGGTCAGATGAGCATATGTTTATACCTTATTTGTGACACTGGCAAGACACAATTTGGTGTTGGGTCCAGGGGGCGGAGCCTCCAGAAGCCCAGGGGTTTTATACATTAAATTATCGTCAGATGAGCATATTTTATACCTTATTTGTGACACTGGCAGGTCACGAATTGGCGTGGGGTCCAGGGGGTGAAGCCCCCGGAAGCTCAGGGGTTTTGGGAAATAGATTACTGTCAGATGATCATGATATTATACCTTATTTTTGACACTGGCAGGTCACAAAATGGCGTGGGGTCCAGGAGGCGGAGTCCCCGGAGGCTCAAGGATTTTGGGCAATAAATAACGGTCAGATGAGCATATTTTTATACCTTATTTGTGACACTGGCAGGACACATATTGGTGTTGGGTCATGCAGGGGGTGGAGCCCAAGAAGCTTAGGGGTTTAAAACATTAAATTATCGTCAGATGAGCATCTTTGATACCTTATGTGTGACACTGACAGGAAACAAATTGGTGTTAGATCCAGGGGGCGGAGCCATTAGAAGTTGTAAGGTTTATACATCAATTTATTGTCAGATGAGCATATTTTTATACCTTAATTGTGACACTGGCAGGTCACGAATTGGCGTGGGGTCCAGGGGGTGAAGCCCCCGGAAGCTCAGGGGTTTTGGGAAATAGATTACTGTCAGATGAGCATGATATTATACCTTATTTTTGACACTGGCAGGTCACAAATTGGCGTGGGGTCCAGGAGGCGGAGACCCGGAGGCTCAAGGATTTTGGGCAATAAATAACGGTCAGATGAGCATATTTTTATACCTTATTTGTGACACTGGCAGGACACAAATGTGTTGGGTCCAGAGGAAGAAGCTCCAAGTAGCTCAAGGGTTTTGGGCAATAAATTACTGTCAGATGAGCATTATTTTATACCTTATTTGTGATACTGGCAGGTCATGAATTGGAGGGGGTCCAGGGGGCGGAGCACTGGCGTACCTATGGGGGGGGCAGGGGGGCAGAGTGCCCCCTGACGGGCTCCAGGGGAAAAAAAGAAAAAGGGGAAAGAAAAGAAAAGAAAGGAAAGGAAAGAAAAAGAAAAAAAGAAAAGGGAAGAAAAAAGGAAGAAGAAGAGAAAAGGAAGAAAAAGGGAAAAGAAAAGGAAAGGAAAAAAATGGGGAAATTAAAAAAAAAAAAAGACCATGGCCGTACGCACCAGGGGGGGGGGGGGGCATTTGACCCCAGATATTTTGAAAACGTACAGTGTTTTTTCCTGAAAATGTAGTGTAGGCCTATACCAAATCCTTCAATTCTACTTTTGAAAATGCAAAAGTACCCTCATGACCAGTTCGGTCGCTCGAACTCCCTTCACTCCTTTTGCTTTTGAGATTCCTCGAAAACTTTTAATGCATCTTTCCCCCTCCCCCACCAGAAAAATATTCCGCATACGGCGCGAACTGCTTGCTAGCCTATTTTGTATTAAATGTTTTCACTTGCTCGTCCCCCTGAAAAAAGAAAAGGATTAGCATTGCCTAGAATACAATTGTGCCTGCCCCGACGGGCCCCGACCTGCAACCATGGCAACAATAACACACAGTGTATGTAGCAAATGTTACTAAAAGAGAGTAATTCACTTTTCTCGCTCGCTACACTTGCTCGCGAATAAAATGAAAAGATATTGCTTTGGAAACAATTGTGCCCACCCTTGACCTGCAACAATATCATTAAAAATGGAAGAGTTTTTTTCGCCCTCTCGCCAAAAAGGAATTGAATCGCGTTAAACGCAATTGCGTCCATCCTGACATGCACCAATAAAAACTAGTTTATTTATTAATTTCTATTAAAAGAGAATTTTTTTTTGCTTGCTCGCTATGCTCGCTCGCCAAAATGGAATTGACACCGCTAACGTGCCCGCCCCAACCTGCAACAACCAGTTAATAATTATGTACCAAACGTTATTCAAAGAAGTTTTGGTGTGCCCGTGCTCGCCAAAACGGAATTAACATCACCTTAGACATGATTGTGTAAGCCCTGCCCTGCAACAAAAAAATCTGAAATTTATGAACCAATTATCATTACAAAATTTTTGCTCGCTCGCTACGCTCGCTCGCCAAAATAGAAATAACACCGTTTTTAATAATCACGTCCCTGACATGGAACAAAGAACCCAAGTTTATGTACCATATTTTCCCTATAAAAGAGAAGTGATTTTTTTTTGCTCGCTCGCTACGCTCGCTCGCCAAAATAGAAATAACACCGCTTTTAATAATCACGTCCCTGACATGGAACAATGAACCCAAGTTTTATGTACCATATTTTCCCTATAAAAGAGAAGTGATTTTTTTTCGCTCGCTCGCTACGCTCGCTAGCTCGTGGAATTATGTGCCCACCACTA